TCTCTCTCTCTCTCTCTCTCTCTCTCTCTCACACACACACACACACACACACACACACACACACACACACACACCCATGCATACATGGAATCGAAGGGAATAATCAAGCCCAGACTCGAAGGCGAGGAGGTAAGCAAGAAAAATACGAAAACAAGAAAAAAGAAGAGAAAAAAGTAAGTCGGAAATAAGGGGAAAGAAGGATCAGGACCGAGGAAGAACAAAGGAGTTCGCTACTTACAAATAGATATCTCCCTTGCTCGATGTACAATAGTCTGCCCGGATTCCATTGTCGAGCATCATCGACCCCCGCGCGACCGAGGACCCTCCCGGTCGCGTCACGCAGGAGAAACTTAGACTTTCAACTTTTCAGAGACAACTCGAGGACGACACGGTAACCCGCGCCGACCCTACGCCGCTCCGGCCAAGTGTGTCAGTTGTACATCCCACGGTAACCCGCGCCGACCCTTCGCCGCTCCGGCCAAGTGTGTCAGTTGTACATCCCACGGTCCCCTACGACAGGATAAATTCTCATGGGGCACAACTTACGTTCCCTAAAGGGTTGTCGTAACCCTTAGAGGTATATCCCCGCCGAGCTACCGGCCCACGTGCGAAGACTTTTATGATGCAATTGCAGAGGTAGGCCGACCGAGGGCGTTTGCTCGTTCGCTGTAGCATGCTTATGCGAGGTTGAACGCCAAAGCGGACTCGAGCGTCGTTCGTCCCTAGGGCGTTGATCTCCCAGAAATCAGATCGACCTCCGTCGACTAGGACGTGATAACCTAAGCGTAAAAAAATCTCAACGAATCCTAGTCCCTTCTTTCAAAGACAATCAAGAGTTACTCATACAAAATACTTTCAAATGAAGAAGACTCACGTCCACGTAAGTTGACTTATCTTTTGAAATCGATTCATTTATAATACAATCCAACACGCATACCACCAATTCAGAATGAGTCAACATAGGTTGACTTGACTTGCCATCCAACGACGAGCCAACATGAGTTGACTCGTCTTCAAACATCACTTATCAACAAAAGAATAAAAGCATGATTAATATGCATAGCGACGCTCAAATGGCGTCTGACCAAAATATCTCCACTCTCCTTGCCAATTGGTTGGGCTAACACAACTTTTCGACTTGATGAGATGCGTTGCCAAGTTCTTTCATTCCGCCCTATACTGACTACTACTAGAAAAGAAACGCAGATAACTCTCAATTCTCAAGTAAGGATATCATTACTTTAATGATGACTTCACTATCTTTCTAACTTTGTTGTGAATGACATCTGCAAGTAATCTAGCGATCACT